CTACATTCCCACCACTGGGTGATGATATGGTGTGGTGATGAGCATCTGAAGGTGTGAGCCAGCGCAATTCCTGAAACCGGTGCCCCACCGCAAACCAGTCAATCCAATACAAAATTTTCGATGATCATTTTAAATTGCCTTCTCTTTTTTACGAACCTGATAGTTACGTTTAATTATTTAAGACTTAGTGCTTTGTTTGCCTTACTTTTCTGTAGACTTGCTTGTACAAGCATCCTCCAAAGAAACTTGGTAGGATTTTTCAGTAAAACATATACCTAAGAATAACTTAAAACATAAACTTAACAAACCTAATAAACGCATCCAAAAACCAGATATTATTTCCATATGTTATTTTTTACCTCCAATTTCTGGCATGATTTTGGGGGTGGAACAATGACTGGATGGTTTACCTTGGGTCCTAAGTTTGTGAGCTACTTTGTATTTTCTAAAACAGAAAATTCTTCTTAAACATAAATTTATCTTGACCGTGGATTAGTGTCTTCTATTTATCTTCTTCTGAAATCTCACCACTTTTTGTGGTTTCTGTAGTTCACAAACCATCAACAATCACCTCTACTCTACAGTGACACAGGGAGGAGTCCCTGGACCAGTCAGTTGGCATCAAAGCAAAGACTTAACAGTGTCAAAGCAACTTAACAGCTATGGTACAGGCAAAGGTGCCCCACACGGGGGCACTGAGGTCAGGAGTAATGTGCTGCCATGGCCTGTGGAAACGAGACTTAAAGTGATGCTTCAGTCTATGGGAAAGAGTCCAGTTTCATACAGGCTATGGACCTGCATTCGCCACGCTGCATACAGCAGATGGTTACACAGGAAAAGCAAACAAAAGTAAAGATTTTTTTATGACACAGGGAAAAATTAATTACATCATCACTGAAGACAGTCTCGGTATTCAAAAAAATCTGATTTTTATCCATCCACGACACACATCTCACACATATGCACGCATTCAGGTCTGACCAGCAGGGAGTGACTGCCAGAGATTTTCTTGGGTCCTCAGGAAAGACTTCTCACTTTACTTCCTACTGACACTTCCTCAGTGTCAACCAAAGTAACTTATCATAGGTGATGGAAAGGAGCTGCCTAGCTAAGCCATACTTTCTAACTGTTTAACTTTACAGAAACAGAAAGTGAATAGTCACTGACATTACAAAGAACGGTTGGGTTAGTGGATCGAGTGCTACAGGTTTGCGGCATTTAAGGACAGGGTGTCGAACCACGGGACGCAAACTGAAACTTATTTTTTCAATTTACATAATGCACTGTGTTCTGCAAATGAATATTCACACTGTTTTTATTCCAAAGTTTATTTAGCTTGTGCTCTACGCACAATCTCAATTTCTGATATTTTAATCGACCCAAACAAGCCAGTCTGTGCGACTTAAAAACTGATCTTCCCAGTCAGTCTTAGAGCACTTGTCAAAATAAAACTGGAAAGGCAAAATTTAATTTCCACGATAGTATACTAATCAACAGAGTCAACTAAACGTGAGCAGTCCACACTGCGGGGTCGTCTCCATTTGCATCAGTTGAAATAGCCACTGCTGTCCAGCCCCAGCAGGGGAGGGCTGCAGCGCCTGCACGGAGGAGACTTCCCACGGGGGTCGGGAATAAAACTTCAGCGCTCACAGGTCCAAGTTTCCTCTCCTTCCTATGTCAGGGCTGAACTTGGTGAACAGAATGCACTTATGCTCTCATGACTCCTTTTTGAAAACTGGGATACTCAAAGGTCTCTTAGGAGCATTTCTTGACAAAGAGTTCGCTATCTTATTTGAAGGAAAAAAAGGCGAACTTCACCTGGCTTCTCTGCTCTGCCTTTCCCACCAGTCAAAGGAAAGGCAGAGCTGAGGCTGCAGCAGGGAAGTCACGCCTGCATGGAATGGGCTCCGGAGCATCGCCGCCTGGCCCCTTCAAGTGACCCTTAAGTCTCCAACCCCGGGCACTCAACGCCTTCGCCCTCTTT